AAAAAAATGACGGAAAGTGAAAATAATAAAAAGTGAAGTGAAAAAAAAAATGATAGAAAATATATTTTCATACATATATTTGGTTTGAATGAAAAATTTACCATAAAGTTTTAAATTTTTTTTATTCTATTGTTTGAAAGAGATAAAAGTTATAATAAATTTTTTATAATTATCTAAGTTACCCTTAATTATATTAAATCGGTCTAAAAAAAAAAAAAATATGTTATTATAATTGAAAGTTAAAAAATTACAAAAAAATTACTTGAAACTTAATTTTAAGACAATCACCAATGCAAAGGCCTTTGGGCTAGATTATATGATTAATCAAATTCACACCAAAATTTTTTAAAATTAATAATCAATAAAATATGTTAAGAAAAATAAGGGTAAAATATAAAGTTAGTTATAGATCACAATTTTCTTGTGTTTTTTACAAGAAAAAAAGTTGGTTATTTATGAGAAAATTCAAGCATGAAGAAAATTATTTTTTCCATCATTTTCCTTTTCATGCTAACTAAATACATGAAAATTTTAAAAAATTTCTCTTTCTTATATTTTCTATCATTTTCTCACTAAACAAACAAACCCATATAACTAGCACTCAAGTAAACCAACAATAAGTACATAAAACCATATTGGTGCCATCAAATAGAAGTTGGACATTGAATTAATTTATCAACCAAACAAAAACAATACTATAAGCAAGAAAAAGAAAAAAAAATGTATGTTAAAGAAGCAAAGAAAATTTCAAAAATCTTTGTAGCACCCAAAAAATTGTCTAAAGTCTAAACCCAATTACACGCATAAACTTCTTTCATATGTCAAGAACAAATGTTAAATCAAGTATATTAAAGAAATAACAAAAAATTCCTGAAAATAGATGATTTATAAATAAACCAACTAAGAGAAGCACATAACCTTGCGAGCAATGGGAGGAGCTTTCAACAAATGTAGTGGGACAAGTAGCTTCACTCTCTACACAATTTTTGGTATCCAATTTCGTGTGGCTACAAAATTGAACAATCCCAAATAATTAAACAAAAACAAGAAAAGTAATAAAAACAAAATAACTCCAAACTAAAATCAAATTGAGTTGATATAAACCTCAAATTCAATTTCGAGTTTCAAAGAAACCAATTAATGTAACATCAAATAAAATCAAATAAGAACTCACAATCCCCAATTCAAGATTCTAATAAAGTAATCAAACCTAAAATTCAAATCAAATCAAACAATAGCAAAATCAAACCCAAAGTAACCACAACCTTATTTGAAAACTAAACCAAATTTTCATGAAATCAAACCTACATAGAAAGCTCACATCAACTTGAATTTAAACTAATCGTAAAATGAACCTAAACAAATAATACAACAAAAACCTATGCTAAACCAACCAGCATAAAATTAAAAACAGAGTTGTGTGATTGAATTAGAAAACTCAAATCAAATAAAATCAAAAACCCATGCACCTATGTAACTTTTGATCCATTCATTACCACCTCAAAATGGACCAAAAGTTAGCAGTGATAAAACTCCAAAAAATAACAATATTCCATGCATAGTAGAAACCAATAAAAAAGATTCAAAGAACTAAAAATAAAGTACTCGTGATCCTAGGCATCTAACTTCTATATACACTAACATGAAAATATACCTGCATTTAATTCTGGGATCTATATCCCCCAAACCCTCCATTTGAGTTGTTATAGCTTCTACATAGGACTCATTCAATAGTCCACCCAAACATATCTACGTAGGTGCATGTATTAACATATAAAAATTTTACTCACAAAAGGAAACATGAAATGGAAAAAGCCATTAAAAAAAATTAGTAATCTTCTATCTTGAAGGTAAAATATCAAGGAACCATTGTTTTTTTGATCAAATCAAGGAACCATATTGGAAAAAAATGAAAAGAAGTTAATATAAATAGATGGAAAAAAAAATTCGTACACATAAAGTATTGTCTGTAAGTTACCAGAAGTGAATATGCACTTACAATAACTTTCCCAAAAAAAATCCCCCAGAATACAACAAAACTTTTATCAATAGCTTTCGAATATATTAATTTTACTCCCCACCACCTCAACAATCAAGCATATGCCTTTTATCCTAATTATTTTCATCAATAAACTTTCATTGCAATTATTGTCCTGAAATTATCATTGTTCATCACGTCTACCAAAATAAACACAAAAAGAATAACATTGTATAAGAATTTGACTGCACTCTTAGAAGAAGAGAGCATTAACAAAGTACATAAAAAAAGAGTCAACGAATTAAACAAATTTCAAATTGTTTAGAACTAAGGAGCAAAAATTAGAGTTAAATATTTCAAAAATTGAAGAACTCATTCAACATCAAAATAAATATGCACATAAAATATTTTTTCCCCGACATCAAAACAGTTCAACATCAACTCATAATTTGAACAAAGAATTTCAAATTAAGACAAAAGTTGTTATCCATTTAAATTTAGACACTGACAAAAGAATCAAAGAGAACGAAATCAAATACTGACCATTTAAATTTATAGGTAATCTCAAAAACACAAATAATATATGTTTAGAGAGAATTAAGGAAATGATGAACTTACACTGCAAAAAATAGTAACATCATCCATTTTTCGATGGTTATGTAGTTACAATGGTGGTGGCTATGCGGTCAATTTCATAAACTGTGTATCATTACACCAATTCCAACAAAATAACCCTAATATTCAATTTCAAAACCCTAAAAATACAATGTTATTTAAAAAAAATGAAATCAAAACCCAAACACAATCAAAATAAACCTAACATTGAATTTCAAAACCATAACATCCAATCAAATACCATTCAATCAAAATGTCACTAACAACTATAACATTCAATAAAAGTCCCATCTTATAATAACGTCCAAAAAACCATTTCATACAATTAACATATAATAATCATCAATGCAACATCCCAACTCATTCGACTAACAAAAACCCTAACATCTAAAAACCCAACAAACCCTATTTAATGAAATTGACACTAATCTCAATCAAAACACTAAATATAGTATTTCATTAAAATAATAAACCCTAACATTTCAATCAAAATAACACCCGTTCCAATGAAAATGACCCTAACATTCAATTTTAAAGTTCCAACGGTCAATTGCAAACCTAAATTCCAACTCCACAAAAATTAATCATCAAAACTCCATTTTATAAAATTAACATCAAATTTGAAAATATTGAAGTCAGCATCACAAACCTTAACACCCAATTTCATAACAAATTGAATAAATGAAATTAAAGCCCAATCGTAATCAAAATAAACTTAACAACATTAAATCAAATACCATTAACAACTACAAAACCCTAACTATGAAAAATCCCAAATAAAAATCCTACAATCCTATCATTTAATTTCTTACAAAACTAATCAAACCATTATGAGAAAACACCTCAATTAACACCCAATATGAGAAAATTCATAGAAAAGTTACAAAATACCCAAAAATATCAAACCAATATAAAACACCTAAAATATCAAACGAATGCGTTGTGTGTGCTGCTATGTGTCTGTGTGTGTGTTGTTGCTGCTATTGCTAGTACTACTGCTTTCTTTTTGTGTGTGTATAGTGGATAGGTGAGTGTGATGTATGTGCGGGTGTGTATCTATATGTGCGATTGTGTGTGGGGTGGGTATCTGTATGTGCGATATGTGTGTGCTAGTGTGTGTGTTTGACTTTCTAAGAATTGTGAGATAAAGGGACGTAGAGGGTGTGGGATATGTTTTTGTGTGTGTATTTGATTGTGTGTGTGTGTGAGTCGTGAGTCGTGAGAGAGAGAGGGGTACCTGCGCCATGGTAAAAGAGTGATCTAGGAGAAAAAAGGAGAGAGGGAGCCTGAGTTGGGTCTTCTTTCGCAAAGGAGCCATAGGTGAGATTGAGAGAGAGAAAAGAAAAGTGTTTGAATTAGGTTGCAGAGTTAGAGTTTTATAGGATTACCTTTTCACGTGAATCAGCGATGGAGACTCTGCATGAGGAAACATCCAATTCAAGAAGGGAAAACGTGACAGTAGAGACTAATGGCATACCTTGCAATGATGATAAGGGCAACATCCCATGTGACTCAAGATCTTCTAAGATATCCGAGAGCAGTCATAAACCTATCAATGGAAAAACTTCACTGTTAGACTTTGGAGATGAAGTGAACACAATACGTGTGAGTGTTTTTGTTTTCTATGTGTATTTTTTGCGTAGAGAGAGAGAAAGAGAAGAGGAGGTGTGACTGAGGGAGAGAGAGACATCGTATGAGTGAGAGATAGGTACATGAGCAATAAGAATCTAGGGTTGTCTATGAGATGAAAGACTTACTCAATTTTTTGAACAACAAAAAAAAAAATCAAACGTTAGGATTACGTAAAAAAAATTTAAAAAAGGAATTTTGTTGGATGAGAAAACAAAATTCAGTACTCATTGTAGACTGTCGAATCAATATTTTATAAGATGATCTGAACTGTCTTTTATGTTGAAATTACGTTGTCCGTTGGATATGTTTATGTGTTGTTTCAAAACGATTTGAATCTCTCTTTGTCTCCACAATTCAAACTCAGTTCTATTTTATTATATAGGTACATATAGTAACATTAAAAAAAATAATAACATTTGAACACAATAAATAGTACCATTCAAATACAAGAAATAATACCATTTAAACACAAAAAAAATAATAATATTCAAAAATAAAAAAATAATAATGTCAAGTATTAATATTTGAAACAATAACTGTAATAACATGCTTAACAAAAATAATAATATGAACAATAACATACCAAAAAAAAACAGTGATAAACTCACAAAAATAGTGATAAACTTTTTTTTATATATAGAGAGTATCAAGTGTTCTTTGAAATTAAATTTTAAATTTATATAAAAAAATTATTAATATATCTTCATAGTAAATTAAAAGATAATAATCTTTAAATAAATTTTTTGACAAATAAAAACTTTACCTAATAAAAACGGACTTATCCAATTAAGTTCGTTAACAAACAAAACTATTATAAGTCCCTTCGGCCGCAATTTTCACTTTATATTATCCGGTGATGGTTTGTTTCCAAATTTGATTGTTCTCTCCATACAACAATCTCTCCCCCCTGGTCTGTAAAACCAAACTGAGATTCATCAGCCATGGCCTTGTCTTCCTGGTTCTCTCGCTTACGTTCTTCTTCAAAACCCATTTACAGTAATCTTAGAAACTCAGTTTTGCCTAAACACAGGGCTCATTCACATATCACCGAGGTTCTCAACTCGGAGAAAAAACAAACGCCAATCCTCTCATGGGTTAGCTCTTTGTTTCCCATAGTTCTTGCTGTCTCTGCTGGATCACTTACCCTCCAGTCGCAAAACAACCCATCACTCTGTGATTCCTCCAATCTTGATCATAGGTATAATATTAACCTTTCAGTTTGTTCAGTAATAGTTCATATGTTTAACATTCAATTTATTGAAGATTCAAGTGAAGTTGAAATCTTTGCTGGGTTTTGTTTGAAATGAATTTTTGTTCTGAGAATCTTAAATGGGCTTGTTGAAAGATATGTAATTTGTTGACTATATTAGTACACTAATCTTTGTTGACTGTATTAGTACACTGGTTGATTTGTTCAGTAGTAGTTTCTTTGTATATTTAGTTTATTGAAGTGGAAACTATTCTTTGTTGACTATATTAGTACACTGGTTGATTTGTTCAGTAGTAGTGTCTTTGTATATTTAGTTTATTGAAGTGGAACTTGGACTGCTTTCTGGGTTCTGTTCAAGTTAGAGTTTGTTTCGAGGACATGAATGAGTGGGTGACAAATATGACATCGGTTGATGATATGGGTGGTGATTAATTTTTGTTAGGTTTACTTTTATTTTGTTACTTTTCAGAGGTATGAAGTTTGGGGGCGAAGATAGCACAGATTATGACGTGAAGGGTTCTCATAGGAAGCTTCCACAAGGACTTATTGAGGAATTGAAGGCCATCTGTCAGGTATTATCTCTTTGACTTTATGGTATTAGCCTGATGTGTTAGTTTTGGCATCACATGTATTCTAAATCTGATATATGACAATTCCTGATGACCAATCATATTTCTATTGGTTTATGCAATTTAGTTTTATTCTAGTTTCAAATTGTGGAGTTAAAAGAATATTGTGATAGAGGTGGGTTATAAGGTTAGGAATGTATGATGATACAATCCGTGCAGGATAATATGACAATGGAATATGATGAGAGATACTTCCATGGAAAACCACAGAACAGCTTTCACAAAGCAGTTAACCTCCCCGATGTTGTTGTTTTTCCAAGGTGAGATTGAATTTTGATGCTTAAAACTATAATCCAAATTACTTGCTTTTTGGTATTTAGTTTGACATTTGTCTTGCTTATCTTTATGGATACTCTTGTTGCCAAAAAAGAGTTTTGCAACTTGTCATTAAGCTTTGACTTTGTTTAGCAGATATCTAACAGCATTTAGATTACCGATGTAACTTTTCCTGATGGGTGGAAGACCTCAAGTATTTTGGATAGTTCTCATAGTGTAATTTTTTGATGGATTATATGCAGGCACATTTCGTGTAGGTGTAGGTGTAGGTGCATCTTTAATTGTGCACATGATAGAAAGATGTTAATTGTGTTTTAATAGAGAGGTGGGTGGTTTTGAGGTCGCAGTAGGTGTTGCAATGGTGGTGGTAGCTACTGGATGGTGGTTGGGGTGGGTGTCATATGACTACAATCTTATTGACAACAAATGAACTGTAGTCATTGGTGAAACTTGAATGTTGAGCGAAAGTCACCGACATGAGGTTGGTGCAGTGAAATAAAGGTGGCCACACAACATGGTTCAAGGTCGTGGTATCGACCATCAACTCGGAGAGTTTTGACACACATCGCTCGCGGTGCGGTATCGAGCTATACGATTTAGAAGAAAATGTTGAACATGAAGGAAATTCAGGACATATCGCCGCATTGTGGAACTGTATCGGTCAATTCGGTAACGATATTTCGGTGACTCAGGATTGATTTGGATACAACTTGGACGACTCAGTTGAATTGTGCTAGTCTCGGAGTTTATACGTATCATGTAATAGTATCGTCTCCGACGGTGCCGAGACGGATATGATTCGGCCGACTCGTATCGGTATCGGCCGATACTTTGAATCATGCCGCACAAAGAAGGTGTGATGGCACTCGTACAGCAGCGGATGAGGTGGGGGTGGTGTTAATTCTCAGTTCATCTACATATATATAGAGGTTATGAACATGACTAATAGATCAAGTTATTTAAGTGGCGCTGGAGTAATTTTGGATAGAGTAGCTTTCTTGCCCGTGGATTGTTTGTCAAGCACTAAAAGGAATTTTCTTATTATCAGAGTGAAACTTTCACCGGGCTACATTATATTTAACTTATGAGAGATGAATGAGGGGAGTTTTTACCCCTAATACTTCACTAAAAGAGTGTCGAACTTTTTTGTCTACTTTGTTTGGAATAGTGAAAATAATGCTAATCTAAGATGCCTGAGATTACTTGAATTATTTTTTGTTTGTAGTATGCTGGTAAGCCGTTTACATCACCAACTCATGTGGTCACTGACCTCTTTGAACTGATGTATCCGTTTTCTATTTTTTCTTCTGCAAATCATGCTTTAATGTGTTTTCCCAACATGATGACTATCAACTTAAGCCTTGGTTTATTTCTTAAATAAGTTCATTATTACTTAATAATATTCTGTGTTTGATTGTCTCTGAATAACAGCCACCCATATCACATGAAAAAGGAAAAAAGATGCCTTCAAATTCTGAATTGTATATCATACTTTATTTATGTCTTCTTGCATATTATCATATTATCATATAAGCAATAGTTTATTAAAAATAAATCTGTTAGCATATCCTGTGCACATGGTAGACATGAAAGAGCTGTATATTGGAAGGGACGACTAATAAAGCTATTTCTGGAGTGCTTGGTTTGTGTTCTTATTGTGGTCCATTCAAGGTACAACATATAATATACCTTAACTTTCTATCTAAAATGCAGGTCTGAAGAGGAAGTGTCTAAGATAGTCAAATCTTGTGAAAAGCATAAGGTCCATGCTTCTCCTTAATAATAATTTTCTTACTTGTTTGTGCTCTTACCGGTGTTTTTTGTGGCTTTTGCCTTAACAATATTTGATGTGTCTATTTATGTGTCAAGTTTTGTGCCCTAGGACCACAGAAAATGATGATTATTTTTTACTCATTCAGTTTGAAAATAAAAGATGCAAAATAAAGTGAAGTGAAATTTGATGTTTCAATTAACATACTTGTGATATGTAGTTGTTCATTGTATAAGATTATAGCCATCTTAAATGAGTACCTCTTTGTTTGTTTGACTTATTTTTTGTCTGCTTTTATTTGATAAGCAGGTCCCAATTGTGCCATATGGTGGAGCTACATCCATTGAGGGTCACACCTTGTCTCCTAATGGTGGTGTTTGCATTGACTTGACTTTAATGAAAGTATGAGCCACCTATTTCTCACTGTAAATAAGTCATTACGTTAGTAATTATCATTTTGTTAAATGTTAGGTCTCCTTATCTCACTTGGGAGAGGTTAATTCCCAAACTCAAACCCATGATGCATCACTTGGATGGATTAGCACTTTTAATTGCTTGACCCCATTTATGAATGCCGCAATGCAATAAGTACAATTCATAATAACCAATGATTTATGTCATTAGAAAGTAAATATTCATCTACAGTAAATGCCTCCATCAAGAGGGGAAATAATGTGCCTAAGGATAACCAATACAAAAAAAAAAACGTAAAATTAAAACAAGTGATAAATTGCATATACAATGAAAAAAGTTTTCTCTCAACTATTTGAGGTTGGTTTCATGAATCTGTAATTGTACCATGTTTTTTTTGCTAAACCACAATCTTTCATATCCTTTTTTGTTATCTCAATTGAAATAAATTTAAAGATCTACCTTTACCCCTTGCATTACATTCCATGATATGACATGGTCTTTTGTAGACATGTCCAAACCATTTATCGACGATTATTTTCAATTTATCCTCTATTGGTGTTAAATGTACCGTTTCATGAACATATTCATTCCTAATTCTAGCTTTTCTGGTTTTCAGCTGTTTTTTTTTATCTGCGTAGTGTTTCCTTGTTGCTTTTCTTTCTGTACCATCCAAAAATGAAATAGGCTAGTAAGTAAAAAAGAGGTAAAAAGAACCTTTAAAGCAAAATTGCATGTGCATATGAGTATCCGTTAGTAGGTATTGTAGGTGAAAGAGGTGTCCTTTAATTGATCATGAAATTGTCCACATGTAGGTTAATCCATATATTAGGAATTGTAAAGTGAACCCCGAGCTTCTCCCTCACCCTTGCAACATCTTCACACCATTGCAAACATTGTGGAGATAGAAAAAAGAGGGTGAACGGTCAGAGTGAGATATTGAAAGCATCAGGAGGCTAGAGGAAGGCGTTGAATGTGTGTCTGGCCCTCGCCTCAAAGCCTCACATATATAGTAGTATGTTTCTTAAATATCCAGGGTAATTTACTTAGTTCAGCACTTAATTGTGGAGAGGTTCGTAATAGGGTTAGTTTATTTTTTCTCACCCTGAACCTGTTTGTGCTGGGTCCCATTCCTCAAGATCCGCCCCAACTACATTTACCAACTCCCAACTCCGATCCAATGGGGGTGGTTTTGGGGCATATTACATAGTTAAGAGACCCCTTTACCTTACTTTAGTATTAGGAATTATTTATGGTTGGAAATATCTGGGCTTCTCATTCATTGATGGCAAAACTATTAAATGATAGTTTTGCCAGAATGAGTCACTAATGGGGCCCATCCTTTTACCAATTTTTTTTTTGGGTGGGTGGGAGGGGACAGGATGGAGGAGGCAAAAGATGGCTCAAGTTATCATGGTAGTTACCTTATTCATCATTTCATTGTTATAATCTGGAAGTTGTCGGTGTTCCTTACTTTCATTGCTGTTTGGATTGTAGCGTGTTGTATCATTACATGCTGAGGACATGGATGTGGTTGTTGAGCCTGGAATTGGATGGATGGAGCTCAATGAATATCTGGAGCCTTATGGTCTATTCTTTCCTCTCGATCCAGGTATGCTTTTGTTTGTTTTTTTTTCATCTGATGTTTATTAATTTTTGTGACAATTATTTGGGATTTATCTTGGTGTTCATTTGTAAATAATTGTTTGTGATTATTGTCAAATAAGAAAACTCTGTAATAAAATAAATGCAAGCAGGGGACCTATCTGGCTTCATATTGTTTGAAATCACAAAAGTGGAATAAAAATATCACGTAATAACCATGCTGCTTGGGCATTCTAATTTATCTGTGAAGGAAAAACATGGGGCTTATGTGAAGACATTGACATGGTGGTCCTCACTTAGAAAACCCTACACAAAATAACTGGATATAAATGTCAAGTTTCCAAGATGTTTGGAACCTATTGGTTTGTACAATCTCTTGAAAATAGCATTATGGGAAGCTGTACTCACTGGTAATGGTCCAGCTATTTTATAGTGGTTACAAAAAACTAAGATTGATTTCCGCAACTAAAATGTTATTTAATATTGATATTGTTCCTTAGTGTGATTGTGAGCTTAGGGCTGAATCAAGTACAAAAGTTCGGATGCTCAATGTTGAGTAGGGTGAGATATGTAACTGACTAAACATAAAATTATTCCTCTGATAGACCTTGGTACTGGAAGCTGGGCCATATGTTTGTGCAAATTGGCAAATGAGTTTGGTACTGGAATGCTTACAATTGTAGTATATCTAGCTTCTAGACTTTTGACTGTAATGATTGTTGTCATCTATTTTTGGTGGCTGATACTCATCCTCCATGTTTTACTCTCCTCATATGGTTTATTTTTCTATGGAAACTAAATGTGAAGTTGAAGCTGTGTCAGTGATCTCTCTGGAGATTGGGGTTGTGGGTGAGAGGGTGGGTGGCTTGGATGGTGAGGCAGCAACAAGAGGGCAAAGTACTTTGGTTTGATACTGTGCATGTGAAGAGACAAATTTATCTCAAGTTCTATCTTGCCTTAGTTGTAATGAGATGATTCACAAGGAGTTGATATAGGACCTTATCAGTCAGAAGACTGATTACTTGCGGTTTGTTGATGGCTGTGTTGTAGATTGGGATGAGAGTCTACGCAATCAATAACCTCAAGTCATCCTTTACTTGATTTTGGGAGGGTGGGTGGGTGGGTGGAAAAGGTGTTGTCTTCCTTTTTGGGGGGAGGAAGAGAAAGGCGGAGAGAGTAGATTGTACACACAAGTCATTTGAAGGAAAAAAACTTGTTTAAGTTCTGAAGATGAAATGTGATTTAGTGAGAAGCGTTGACTAGTAAAGCTGAAAACTGCATTTGCTCTGGGCTAATAGAGTAGGAAATTGTTGAAGCAGCAAGTGTTATACCCGAGGGAAGTCTTGGTGAATATTCCTGATATGCACTTTTTGATTGATATATTGGTTAAACGAATTCTCTACACATCCAGTAGGAGTATTTTAGGATCTGTAAGAAGTTATGTAAGAGAGAAACAGGTTTTACAGTGATTTATTTAACATTTACCTGGAAGTTATAAAACCTTTATAGATAAAAGTCATGATCAGAAGGAAGCTAAAAAAACAGAAGAGAACTGGAAGACAGATGGAACTTGTCTTTGCCAGCAATTATGCATTACTAACAAACCCATGCTTCATCTTCCCCTCCCCCCCTCTCTTAATCAGAAGCAACTCTGTTGGTGATACAAAAAATGTACTTGGGGGAAGAGTAGTCCGTATATAGACAAATACAAAAAGTCTTTTGTGAGGTGTCCACTGAGGAGTGAAGAAGAGGCATCCGGCATGGTTATATATGTCTCTATATGCAGGCATATACATATATACACGGGGCCGGCTTGGTCAGTATAGCCTTACTTCAATTTGGACCAAAACGCAACACGAGTTTATTGATTTTAACTCCATACTGCTCTTATCTCAATTGTACCCGAGGGACAGGTTACTCGATTTCTATCAGTTTGCCCGTGAATATCTTTATTTTAGTTTTTGGCTTGCTTTCGAAGGACCAGTTTTGAACCTAATTATAAAAAAATTTGTTATGTATTTGTATCCCAAAGGTGATACATAAAATGAAATCGATTACAGCTTTGGTAGAAACTTCTGTTTCTAATAGCAAGTTAAAGAGAGATTTTAGAATTCATGAACATGAAATGAAAAAATAAACCACTTTGTCACTGTTGGAGTTATAGCCTAATTTATTAGAGTTTTGCCTTTTTTGCCTTCATTTTACCTTTTTATCCTTATTGTGATTTTTATTGTTTGACTATATATACGGGGCTCTACACTTAGTTTGTATCCCTTTTCACTCACGTTTATTCCTAGTTGGTATCAGAGCCATACCTTATCCCTGACCCTAACCTTCGCTCTCTTCCTCACCGGTGAACATCAATAACCCTCATCACCAATCACCAGCAAAACCACCTCAGTCACCATCGACAGCCACCAACCCGGCCAACCAACCCCGCGACCTTGGGAAAACCAGAACCCAGCGAAACCCACTGCCTGCGTACTACCAGCAAAACCCAAGCACCGACGAAACCATCCCCCTCCAAGCCACTGCCAGCAAAACCACCGCAGCAAAACCAGCATCCAAGCACTGACAAAACCACTCCACCGACCCAATAAGCCACCCTTCCCATCATATAGCCAAAACAGCCCAACTTGATTGCCAAAACGACCCAAAACTGCCCAGCAAAACATCCCAAAACAGCAACCCACCCAACTTGCGCCCACGCAGTCCCAGCATCAGCGTCAGTTTGTCACACTCTTCGTCATAGTGTTGCCATCTCTTCGCGCCATTGCCTTTTTTTTCCTAGGGTTGAGACATTTAGGACCTTTTAAGAGGGGTTGAATCCTATTTTCCATTGATCTGCTTTTGATGTAGCAGATCGCTTATTTATCTTTATTAGATTTCTGGACATCGTGGCCTGATTCTTTAGGAGCTTTCTAGACCTTTTATATCTGTCGTTACTGTTTGACCGGAGAATTTTTGAGCACCGTGACCTGATTATTCTAGGGCTTTTTAGACCTTCTTTGTCTGTCGCTACTGTTCGAATGGACGTATATTATTCTCTTTTATTTTGTCCCTCTATTTATCTTAGAGTTTTTTTTCTGTCACGGGTGCTCACGTATTGTTATTACTATGATTACTACTGAGGGACTTGAGACTTCTACCGTTGAGACCTCTATTATTGAGACCTCTGCTATTAGTACTTCCACCTGGAATATACCACCTGATTCTCCTACTTTTATGTTTGACCAGTGTATTGTACCTACTAGCACAGTTGCATTACTGGCAATGCTAGGTATGATATCTCAGAAGGTTACTACACAACTGTTGAATGGCCGCAACTTTGCTGAGTGGTTATGCTCATTCTAGCTTTTCTTAGGCTGTGTAGGAAACCTTGGTTGGCTGATGGGATCTCACCAAAAGTCGGCTGATGATGACCCTAAATATTCTGCGTGGTGCTCTGAGAATTGTGCTATTCTTGGATGGTTTTTTGGTTCGATGGAGCCCTCTGTTTGCAGGATTCACCAGTTTTATATCTCTATTTCGAAGCTATGGAGCACATTATCAGAGATGTATTCTTAGTCAAGACGGGGAGTTCATGTTTATGAGCTCTCAGGAGCTCTTATATGCTCGGCAAAGAGATATGACGGTTCAAGATTATTATGGCTATTTGACCCAGCACTAGCTCGAGTATGAGCTCTACGTCCTCTTGCTGTTTTTCCAAGGATAGAGCCCTAGATAGAAACATTCCTGCATACTCGAGAACAGGAGGATATGATTCACAAGTTCCTTACTGGGCTTCGTGATGAGTTTGAGGGACCTCGTTCCTAGATTTTGGGGATGCTGAGGCTTTCGTCCCTTTATGAGATGTATGTGATGATTGAGTAGTATGAGCGATGTGTTCGTATTGAATCACTTCCAGTTTTGACCTTGACTCCTTAGGCTGACTAGATGGCCTTTGTAGTTGCTACAGGGTCTTGTTCAGGATCCTTAACTGGGGGTGGACAACACTCGGACTAGCGCTGTCAGGGTGCCCCAGATCAGCGTAGACGGGGGGATTCTCGTCAGTGTGATTATTGTGGCCGACCAGGACATCTCAGGGCTGCTTGCTGAAAGCTTCATCCGGAGCTTAAGCCGTCGCCTTGTAGTCATACTGCTGCCATTGCTGAGGCACACGATCTACTGCTGTTGCTCCTGCTACTACTCCTCCTGGGCAGAGTGATATAGATGCTATTACTTCTCGGTTGGATATACTTATGTCAGTCCTGACGTCTCAGGGTTTGACTACTACTGCTGCGACGACTATTATAGGTATATCTCGTGCCTTTCATGCTTGTTCCAGTTTGTCTCCCCTTTGGATGTTGGACTCGGGTGCGAATGATCATATGACTGGTGAGGTCCATCACTTTACCACTTTTGAAGAGCAATTATATACTCAAGTTCAATTAGCAGATGGGACACATGCTTTTATTGTTAGTAAGGGTGCAGTCCGCCTCCTAGATGACTTTACATTATGTTCGATTTTTCATGTGTCAAAGCTGACCATAAATCTATTATTTGTAAATCAGTTAGCTAGAGATTTTCACAGTGTGGTTGTGTTCTTATCTGGTTCGTGTTATTTGCAAAACTTGGGTACTAGGAGAATTATTATCAGGGGACATGAGAGAGATGAACTGTATTATCTAAGACGATCTACCTCCAGTTTTACCAGTTCTTACATTCCCATCACTTACACTTGTTTTATCTTTATTTGTTCCTAGGTTGCATGCTAGTATTTTACTTAGTACTTGTCGTTATGAGTTTTCATTACAAAATGTTCAGTTGTGCCATGATCGTTTTGGACATACAAATTTTAAATATTTATGTATGTTTCTTGCTTGGAGCAATGCTTGTGTTGGTAGTAAACTTGACTGTGTTATATGTTCCCTATCAAAATATGTTAGGACCAGTTATGTTTCTTATATACACCAGTCACCTAAGCCATTTGACCTAATACACTGATTTTTAGGGACCCTCTCCTGTTACTGCTCTGTCAGGTGCTCGATAGTATGTGACATTTATAGATGACCATACCCGTTGTACTTGGGTCTACCTTTTACATAGGAAGTCCGATGTACTCCCTGTCAGTACTCAATTTTTTCAAATGATTAAGACACAATTTGATGTCATTGTTCGTGCTCTTTATTCGGATAATGCCAAAGAATATATGTCTAATGCCTTAGTGTCTCATCTTTCTTTTCAAGGTATCCTTCAATAGTTCACTTGTTCATATATTCTTGAGCAAAATGGAGTTACTAAAAGAAAAAATAGGAGTTTGATAAGGATGGTACGTTGTATGCTTGGAGGTATGGGGGTCCCAAAATCTTATTGGCATTTTGCTATTTTGACTTCTACATTTTTGTGTAATTGTACACCGAATCGTGTTATTTAGATAAGGCTCCTTTACATGTCTTATTCCCTGAGTGGACACTATTTTCGGTTCCTCTCGTGTTTTTGGATGTACATGTTTTGTTTAGGATAGGTCTCCTATTCGTCATAAGCTTGGTGATAAAGCAACTCGTTATATCTTTGTGGGTTATTGTCATCAGTCTAAGGGGTATCTGTATTATGATTTTATTAGGCATCGTATGTATCACAGTCTAGATGTGACCTTTCTTGAGCATATTCTTTTATTTTTCTTTCAGTCCTATGTCTGCCACTCTAGTTGATGATACTCTTTTTGAGTTTCCCTTACCACAGGGGCTAGAGCCATTGGTCACTGTTACCACAGAATCACCAGTCTCTTCTTCTCCAGAACCACTTGTCCCTGTCACCATAGAGTCACTATCTCACCTCATTTGTAGGTTTATGTTCGTCGCCCTCATTCTTATCCCCCTGTTGATGTCTCCTCTACCTCAAGCGACACAGGTAATATTTCTCAGTTCATTGAGCATATTGATGCACCTATTATTAGTATTGATAAGATTACAGGTAGGATGTCAGTTACCTTACCTAATGAGACGTTGACAGTGGAGGATAATGATTTAGAACGTCGTTGTCTGCGGCGTGATCGTCGTCCCGTTGTTCGTTATGGTTGGACCGCTAAGACTTTATATTTGACTTTTGGTTATGTTTCTTATAGTGATCTATCTCCTACATATCGAATTTATAGTTTGGTTTTATCAGATACACCAGTTCCTCGCTTTGTTTTAGAGGCTATGCCAGAGTCCCAGTAGGTTCTTGCTATGCAGACAGAGATGAATGTTTTTTATCATAATCATACCTGGGATCTTATTTCTTTACCTTCAGGGGTGAGGCCTGTTGGCTGTCGCTGGGTGTACACCTTGAAGTTTCTTGCAGATGATACTATTGATCGTCATAAGACTAGGCTTGTTACGAAGGGTTTTACTTAGGTACCAGGTCGTGATTTTGGTACTACATTTGCCCCCGTGACAAATTTGACTATCGTTCGGTTAATTATATCTTTGGCTGTGGAATATTCTTGGCCTCTTCATCAATTGGATGTGAAGAACGCGTTTTTTCAAGGTGATCTGGACGAGATTATTTATATGGGTGCACCACCAGGATTTCGTGGTAAGAAGGAGTATGCTGGGAAGGTGTGTCGACTGCGTAAATCTTTTTATGGACTCAAACAGTCACCACGAGCCTGGTTTTCTCGGTTTAGTGGTGTAGTTGTACATTTAGGGTTCACCAGATGTCATTCTGATCATACATGCTTTATTCAATGAAATACTTCTAGATAGTAAGTCATCCTTTTGATATATGTAGATAATATTATTATTACTGTAGATGATATTTCTGGGACTGCACAGGTCAAGGTAGATCTTGGGAAAACCTTCGATGTGAAGGACCTTGAATTTCTGCGATACTTTCTTGGGGTTGAGGTTATTCGTAGCAGCAGGGTTATTGTTCTTTCTCAAAGGAAGTATGTTCTGGATCTTCTTTTAGACACTAGGATGCTAGGGTGTAAACCGGCATCATCACCCATGATTCTAAACCTGACCCATGATTCTAAATCTGAAGCTTACTGCTGAAGGTAAGGAGTTGAGAAATTCGATTGTCTATCAGAGGATGGGAGGTAGACTTATCTACCTGGCCAACACTAGGCTAGACATTTTATTCGCTGTTAGCCGAGTTTGTCAGTTTATGCACAGGCTATGTCAGCCTCATCTTAATTTAGTTTATCATATTCTTCGGTACCTTAAGTTTTGTTCTAAATTTGGGTTGTTCTATGCATCAAGATCTCAGATTGGTTCTCTAGCTTGTTATTTAGATTCAAATTATGGGGAGTGTATGACGGTCGATCTACTACGGGCTTCTGTGCTTTTCGAGGGACTCATCTTATCTCTTGGAAGAGCAAGAAGCAAACAGTTGTCTCCCGCTCGGCAACAGAGGCAGAGTATCGGACACTAGTACTTGACACGTGTGAGATTATCTAGTTACGATTGATTCTTGACGAGTTGGAATTTCTAGTGACTTCTTCATCTACATTATATTGTGATAATCGATCTACTATTCAGTTCGCTTTTGACTCTGTACTACATGAGAGAACGAAGTATACAGAGATCGATGTTCACTTTCTTCGAGAGAAGGTTAGTTGTGGTATTGTCACTCCATTGTTTGTGGGAACCAATAATCAGGTTGCGGATATTTTCACCCAACCTGTCACTCTATCTATTCTCCGGGACTCTGTTGTTAAGCTTGACTTAGTTGACATTTTTGCGCTTACTTGAGGGGGAATGTTGGTGTTATAGCCTAATTTATTGGGGTTTATTAGGATTTTGCCCTTTTTGCCTTCTTTTTACTTTTTTATCGTTATTGTGACTTTTATTGTTTGGCTGTATATACGGGAGCTCTACACTTAGTTTGTATCCCTTTTGACTCACGTTTATTCCTAGTGTCACTATAATTTCTGTTTGCAAATATGGGTCATTTGGTTTGGCTATGGATAGAAGAACTCATTAGCTGGTTGTGATACATTTTACGTGACTATGTCTTAATCCATGCACTAGATGAATCTCAATATCAGTTTCATGATTAAAATTTTATGTTCTTCAACATATTGACTGTAGGGCCTGGAGCAACCATTGGAGGGATGTGTGCTACGCGTTGCTCTGGTTCTTTAGCTGTGAGGTAGTTGCTCATTTACTTTATACATGGGTTGTAAGGTGCTTCACTTTTACATTTACTGCTGAAACCGCTCCAAAAATGGAAACAATGGTATTGTTTCCATTGTTGTTCGTAATTTCCCTTCTTTGTCCAAATTTTTTGTTGGTTTTTCTGTTATATGCTACTGGATTAATTTTTGTTGGGATTTAGTTGTCTATTAATGAGTTGCTGTATAGTACTGGGAATTAATTCTTCTTGCAAACATACATGCCGGACAAGGATGGGAATTTCATATCGTTTCCACTAAAATGAATGAAAATGAATTAGTGATTGGATATCGAAGTTCATATGTTTCGAGGTGTTTCTAGGTACTTCGGAATGTTTTCGGAAGCATTTATGAAATGTTTCGTTTTCTGAACTGGCTGAACGTTTATGCACTCAAACAAAAATTTTATCATTGATGCCAGATTGATAGATTTCATAACATTGGAGGAGTTGTTTCTAGTTCCCTTTGTCTAAGCTAGTGTTTTGTAATAAGGAAAAACCTGTAGAGTAGACATATTCACAAATAGAGGAACCTTGCTTGCACTCGACTAATATGCATCTATGCACATAATTTAATGCTTTTAAGGCTAATAATTTCTCTCCATGATTACTAGGCAATTTTATGGTTTTGATTCAGATGAATAATTGGATAAAGCCCCACAATATGCAGAATCAGAGGAAAAATAGTGACCAATTGAGAGACTCAGCTACAAAGTTTCAGAAATTGTGCCATCCTGCCAGTGTCTTTATGTGCTGAAAGAAGTCATCATATAGATTAGAATTAGAAGCACTTGTGAGTAATCAAGTGAAATGCCAGCTATCATGACAAATGTTCATTCCCATAGATTGTCGGAGTCATTGAAATATGTATCGGTTAGTGGAATTTTTGACTGACCTTTTAGTGCAAAATGTGAGGGAGAGTTACGTTATAAGCAAGTGTACATGACCCATACCAAACCCTTTTTCCTGGTTAATTTTTCTTTTCCCTTTCCCTTCCTTTTTATTATATAAATTATATGGTGCTCTTACGTTGCTTTCCTGCAAGTTGTACGATACCAACCTTGTGTTAGTTCCAAGATACTAGCACTTCATTATCAGAGGATTGATATCCATTCACTGATGCGTTATTGGACTTTGCGATGGTACTACCCTGTGATACCTATGATATGATGCTATGCTGAGATGGTAGACCAGTAAATAGACAGGAAAACGTTGTTGTCCTGAAAGCATATCATTACCCTGGAATTTAAAATAGGAAAAAGGTTTATCTGTCTTTTGTAAATGCGTATGCTCACACACACTCATTGTTTCCACATTTTTGGTTGATCTATATCATGATTTTCACTTAACTTTCCTTGCTTTGGTTTGTATGTATATTATGGTCTGAATTCTGAACAAGATTTATATTGGACGTCAATACTGGTTTATCCAAAACAAAAAGAAAAGAAAAAAAAGAGAGAAAAAACAAGATGTCATTATGTTCCTTTTTAGAATAACAGTTGTTGAATTTTATTTCGTGTTTGAAGCACAGTAATTGATTTTTCTCTTTCTTTACGAAGCCTGTTAATATAGCTAACGTTTGAATGACTTAATTCTTGACTGAGTTTAATTAACGATTTTATTTTTAGCATGTAGGTATGGAACTATGCGTGATAATGTCATCAATCTAAAGGTTTTGTTTTCCTCATCTTGTGCATATATTAGTTGGTAAGTGTCAAATTTTACATGTTGCTTTATCTGCAGGTTGTTCTAGCCAATGGAGATGTTGTCAAGACAGGTTCCCGTGCCCGAAAAAGTGCTGCCGGGTGTGTTTCTTATGCCATTTCTAATCTTTTTGTGATTCATAGTCATGTTTCTCAAAACCACTATTTAGGATTATAAATTAAAAAAATTGAAACAAAGAATATATGAAAAAAACCTCCATTCAGGACTAAAATTTTAGTCGGTGGGAATCTTATGAAGGGCTTCGGGTTTTTTCTCTTCAAAATTTGGCATTTGAAGTTTTTAATAGGAGAATCATTTGAGTGCTTAAGAAAAGTCTTTACAGATTTTTAAATATCGTCGTTAGTGCATGGATATTATGGGAAAATATGAAAAAGCTACTATTAATGCACAAAATTGTTGACAATAGAATGAGTCTTTCAGTAGAATTGTGCGACAACAGTTCCACATTAAGTACATAAGAGCCAAGAGGTCATTTTTTGTCCCTTAACAGGTGCCCTAGAACCTTTGGTATACGATCCTTTCTTACATACCACAACTTCATGTAAAGAAGTGTTATCTGAAGTTCCACATTATTCTGTTCTGTATTCCAGACTCAGTTTCCTACCGTAGCAATGTTTTAGGATTGAAAAAGAAATGGTGAAAGGAGAACTTCAAGTGGGAGTATCTGACCATATTCTATTATATATTATTATATTTGAACATACTTATATGCAATCAAAAATATATTGTAAAGAATTGTAATATCTTTTTTCTTTTTCTATTTAGGATTCATCAGATAGAAGTAATGAGGCCCATTTGTGTTATATATTTGCTTTTCTTCTCCAAAACTTGTCAATAATTTTTTTTTTATTTGTAGTAGTATTTTATGGTAAATAGGAGAAGTTGATGTCTAGCATAACTAGGGTGGTTTAGATTTTTTCAGAAAAATATTGTTTGTTTATCTTGTTGTGTGAGTTATTCTTGTGGTATTGTTTTTGGTTCCATGGACTTCTATTATGTTCTTTACATTGGGATTAACTTATTCACCTTTTTAGCCGCTTAAGAGCATTTGTGATGGCCAACCATCATGCTTCTGATGAAATTTTAACACATTTATAGCAAATATATCTGCTATACTTTAGTATTTAATTCTTGGTGCCTATAGAAGTAAAAGAATTATCTTTAAGTAGGTTGTCCTCTAAATCTTTGAAGTTGCTCATGTTCTAGGTATGATCTAACGCGCCTGATGATTGGAAGTGAAGGGACCTTGGGAGTGATTACCGAAGTTACGTTACGTCTACAGAAAATTCCGAAGTATTCAGTGGTACTCTGAATTTTCATTTCTGGAGGTTTTCGTTTGTTGTTATATTCTAATTCAAAATGGGTGTCCTTTCTGTGATGATAGACTGGTTAATTCTCTCGTTTTTATCAAATAAAAAATACCTGGCCAAGCCTTGATAATTGTTTTAATGTTAAGTTACTCAGTATCTGATATTTCCCATGTGCTTGCATGGAGGTAACTTCACTTGTGGGCTGTAAGCCTTTAAGCTATTCTTGCATGATATTATTGTCACTAATCAAGCAGAAAGATTAGAAATGCCACAAAGAGGGGCACAAATAAATATCATAATAAGTTTTATTCCGTAGTATGGTTGAGCCCTGTGTGTGCGCGCGTGTTTGTATCTGTCTCTCTTGCATGCGCGTACCTATAGGCAACTGATTGGATTTATTCTTCTCTTCCTCTTCCTTTTTGTTTTCTTCTCTGTTTTCTCTTTTTTCCTTCCACTTTTCCCTGAATATTGAATCTACCTAGAAAAGGGGGAAACTAGGCCTATACTGTTGTGCAAACACCTTGTTAGATGAGCCCTTTCAACTGTGATGCGCCCGTTCTCAGAATTTGTCAAGGTCAGGTTGTTTGTCATTGTTAGGCTAGTTTTTGACCATATATTGCAGTTGTGGTATGGATTCATGGTTTGTGTGCAACATATAAAATATTTTGAGTTTGGATTAATGTTACCTGGATCATGGTTTGACTTGGTACGTGTATGCGTATGAGTACATGGTACCACACTCGGCTATGCAGTGATGGGATTTGGTTTTAAGCTGGTACGGTGTTTTGGTCACGAGTCATTTTGGAAATCTTATCTAATCACTTTCACTCCTAATACATATTATATAATTGTACATCCACACACAGTAAATTTTTCTTTACATCTGTTATTGGTTATAAGTTCCAAAGCAAATCAATTTAGATCAGGTTCATAATTGGGGGGTGGTAATTTAGGTGATCTGATCGTGAACCCACCTTGTTTTGGGCTGTTGCATTCATATACTGGGTTGTTGAGTTCTGGTAACTAGTTTGGATGTGATTAGAGTTTCACGGTTTGACTTTCTGGATATTGTTTGCTTAAGCATCCTGTTTTTGTGTACAAGTAGCATGCACAAGGTGCTTGATTAAATCCGTGAAAGAGGGATTGGGAAAATGATTACCCATTATTGAGCAGTTACTTGGATGATCAACATGTAACTTTACTTCATTGCCTGTTCCTGCTTTCTTAGTTTTGATTTTTTTTCTGAGAAAAAGTATGTCAATTGTATATCATTGTCTTAATGTTGCTACTGAGTGAAGTTTTTATTGTTTGCAGCAATATGAATGTGAAAAAGCTTCCTTCATTGTAGAATTTGGCTTTTATTCAAACTGATTTTTTAAAGTTAATTTTTGTCAGTTGGTGCACTCCCGAATGATTATGATTTCCTATTTCAAGTTGCATTTATTCTCACACGTATACCTTTGGTTGCTTATGATCATTATACAGGTTGCCATGTGCAACTTTCCTACAGTGAAGGATGCAGCGGATGTTGCTATTGCCACTATGTTGTCTGGTATACAGGTCAGATATCTACTGCCAAAATTGCTATGCTATGTGTGCATGCCATTTCTGCATCTATTATGTCACTGTACATCTTTGTGGACTTTTTCCCTTTCCTTATTTTTAGGGTTCTGCTGTTGGTTTATTTAGATACATATTTGTGCACATAGTTAAGGATAAAGGAATGATACAAAGTAGTCCACGTTGCTTGCATTCCACTTCCCATTTTCAAATAATACACAATATCTTCTATGTTGAGTATAGTGTTTACTGTATCAAGCAATTGTAAGTATGATGTAGCTGTGCATTTGGCTGATGCCATTTCTTTGTAACCGGTGTGGAATGGATGAAAGGAGGAAAATGCAGATACAAGAAGATTTTTACATAGTAATGAAAAAAAAAATATAAAAGCAAGTAAAGGGCACAGAACAATGGAAAGCGGCACCATGTGTGTGGTATTTTTCTTTTGGAGCCTGAAGAAAGTTCCAAGTTGCATACAAAAACCTCGTGATTTTACGAATTTTTTTAAAAGGATTATAATGCCTCTTAATAACCCCCTTGTTTGTTGCATAACTATTAACTAGTCCTTCAAATGAGTCTACTTTGATGTTTGCGATGCAGTCCTAAACCAGAAAGACATCTTTTGAAAAATGCAGAAACTGGATTATAACAAATTGGTTGTTTATTAAGGATAACAGAAGGTGCTAATTAAATTACTCTTCTGTTTCTTCACCTTTTTTTGTGTTCATAATACTCACTAGGTGTCAAGGGTGGAGCTGTTGGATGAAGTGCAAGTGAGAGCTGTCAATATTGCTAATGGGAAAAATTTGCCTGAAGTTCCTACTTTAATGTTTGAATTTATAGGCACAGGTGAAGCATGTCCTCGTTTCTGTGCTGTTGCTTATCTCGAATTTTTGTGATCTCAATGCATAGATTATGTCAGTGTCATCAATCCTATGTTATTTTGTGAGATCTTGATGATGTTTTCCGTGGATAAACCGGGGATTATCAAATGGGGGTCTCTCTCTCTAATAGTGTCATAGCTCAGGGAGTGTGGAGATTACTTTGTAGATTTAGATCAATACCATGTGAATGATGGCTGAAGTGGTCAGAGTGTTTACTGCAGAAAGAGGATTGAAAAGGATGTTTTTCCCTGCTTTGAAGAGTTTATCTTGAGTTTGTAAACCTTACGAGGGTCATTGTCTAACAAGCCCACAGGCACTGTTATCATGATGACAGGGGAAAGAAAGGAGAAAAATTGGGGCGCGAGGGCTGGGGGTGGGAAGGAGAGCATAGCTCTTTGCACGAATTCAGGAGAATAGAGGAAAGATTTGGTGTTTTTGGTTTGTGGATACCCAATAGAATCTCTGGAAGAATCAAATGTATATTGCACTGACGCACATGCTTGCCTAGACTTGGGAGGAATATGAATATTCTTACCACATTGCCATTTGCTTTTCTATTTTTGGTTATACACCTGCGTTTGTATTGGACACATAGCTCCGTCACATCATTGTCATTACTGTTCCGCAATGCAAGACCGTCAAAATACTGATGTGAAATCAGAAAACTTGCATACCGTATGCTAAAGAATGCAAAGGTGTGGGTGCATTACCTAAGTGGATATTTTATCATACCAGTGCCCATCCCGAAGTTCTAAAATCGATGTCTGATCACTGTCACTCAAATGTAAACTCTTGATAGGAGAAAGGAAATCGGGATGATGTTAGCCACATTCGACATAGTCACTTCCTTTGGTTCAATTTCTTCTAAATGAACGTGCTACAGCCTAAATGAGGATCCAATCTACTGGATCTGCAACCGGGCCTATATACTGTCTCATTTGGTTCAGTATGTATTTAATGTCAGAGCTGAATGTCATAATGTTCATCGGAATATGAGTTGATTTCAGATTGTTATCCAATTCCGTAAAGTAACCATCAGTTGGATGTAACAGGAAATATAGATCTAAGACGCCAATTATTACCCTGACACAAGGAACTAAATTTCGTTTTGAAATGGTCGAAACATCTGAAATTTTTCCGTTTCCATGGAAACCAAAAGGAATCATTGATTAAATATCAAAATTCCTATGTTTCGAGGTGTTTCGGCATGCTTCGACCTATGTTTCGACTAAGGTTGCGGATATAAATTATAAAAAATTTATTTGTTTCTATCTTGTTTCCGAAACATTTCCGTAACTCATTGACACTATGTACCGAAACGAAATTTTGATCCTTGCCCGGACATTTTCCTCATGGAATTGTAAGCAGTTGATATGTACCGAAGTGGGTCCAATATTAGCGGAGTGAAAGGTAAATGTTTTTACTTCTGATTTGCGTTTGCTTGGGTTCTTGCTAGGGCCGGACTTGGTGTGGTATTCTTCAAATACCTGGTTGAACACTTAGTGTTCTACCTTTCAAATAGCTGGCTGAACACATTGTTCTTAACATCTTATGGATAATTCTCCTTTATCTTGACTGATTGCCAGTCATTTGAGTCATTCTCAATTAGCACAGCAGCAATAACAGTTCAAATTTAGGCCTAATGTGAGTAGGTATCTGACTTGGCAACACATTTCCTTTACATCTTTAAGTTAGAGTTAACTTGATTGGATGATTGGAACTAACTGATTAATGCTGTTGAAATCCAGGGGAAACATTATAAAAATATCTGCACAAAATTGTGGTCACTGCCAGTTGGCTTTAAATCTTTTTTGTGGTTCTTTTTTTTTGTTTTATGCGCAGAATGAGTTATTCCCTGAGTTTTTTTGTTAGCTTTGATCTATTCTCCTGATTGATTGCTAATTGTTATCTTCTTGTTACTTATTATCAGAAGCATATTCACGTGAGCAAACACTAATAGTGCAAAATATAGTTTCCGAGCACAATGGCTCAGATTTTGTCTTTGCTGAAGATGCTGATGCTAAAAAGGAACTTTGGAGGGTAAGGTGTTTATACAATTCCAGCATTAATTATAGCTGATTTAATTTTGGATACATAGCTTGTGGAAAATTTCCTTTTCTTCTGTTTTCTTTAGCATGTTCCTTCTTGTTGGCCAATGGCCTCCCATCCCTTTTGCTTCTGTTTTCTTCCATCCAGTATTAGAAAAAAGTTAACTTCTTATTCAACTATTTTTTCATAATACTTTATACGAAAGTCTAAATAAAGGGATTTTTATGGTATATGGCAAATGAAAAAGTAAAACGAGTGCTATAAAACAGGACAACAAACTAAAAACATCGAGGGCTTTAAAAGTTATAAGATTTCAAATAAATTAAAAAAAGGGGTAAGAGATGCTAAGTACAAAACATATGATGATCTTTATTTTAAACAAGACACAGAATGGGGAGAAGAGAATATATAAACTTGCTAAATTAAGAGAGAGAAAAACTAGAGATGTTAATCATATTAAATGTATTAAGAGTAAAAACTTTGAGAAAATTAAGGAAAGATAGAAGAATTACTTTGAAAAGCTACCAAATGAAAATCTTAGAAGGAGCACATACATTGAAGATTGTAGAAGTCATAGGGAGATTAGAGAAAACATTTTTTCATAGGATTAGGATATCGGAGGTTAAGGAGGCATTAAAGAAAATGAAGACACAAAAAAACTTTAGGACTTGATGGTATAGCTATTGAGATTTGAAAATGTTTAGGGGATGGTGGGCTATTTGAGTACCTATCTATAAGAATAAGGGATATATACAAAGTTGCACAGGCTATCGAGTTATTAAACTAGTAAGTCATATAATGAAACTTTTGGAAAGAGGGATGGAGCAAAGATTAAGGTTTGAGACAACGGCTCATGAGAATTAGTTTAGATTTATGCCTACAAAATCAACAATGAAAGCTAATGCTTATTTTAGAGACTAATGGATAGGTATAAAAAGAAAAATAAGATCTCCATATGGTTTTTATAGACAGAGAGGAGATATGATAGAGTTTCTAGAGATATATTATGGAAGGTTTTAGAGAAAAAATGTTACTGTGAGCAAGGATCAAAATTTCGTTTCGAAGTACCGTTTCGGTCAACTCAAAAATAGAAACGTTTCGGAAACATTTGGGAAACGCAATGGAAACGCAGAAAAAATATGGAAACGCATAGAAACACAAATGCAATCCATTAATTTATAAAGATATGCTAAATAATTTATTAATTCAACATATTTATTAGGTTAACATCAATTTATACAAGAATAAATTTAAATTTGAGGGAAAAAAAGGCTTGACTTGAGGCGAAAGTCACTTAAATTAGTTTCAAACACTTAATTTTTATGAAATAAACACATTTTTACATAATATTAAGGTCTTATAATACACATGAAATGCTAATGAGTACATACTTACATGGTTACATCCATTCCCCTGTGGAGTGTCGAGCAGGCTCATACATCGGTGTAGGCTCTGGGTAGCTACTTAGAGAAACTCCATACGTGACATAAATATGATGACAATAGTTACTCCAAATCATATTATTACGGTAATATAATCCAATTAATAATATTATTTTATTATAATACTAATAATGAAGGGTATCAAATTAAATTAATGATACTTATGTATACTTAAAAATTAAATGTAATTGCAGTGGGTATTAAATGTAATTACAGTAGGTATTAAATATAATTACATTAGGGTATTAAATGTAATTGTTAATACTTATAACAAAAAAAAAAAACAAAAAACTTGCACAGCAGTGAGGTATTAAATATAATTATAGTATGTATTAAATATAATTATAATGGGTATTAAATATAATTATAGTAGGGTATTAAGTGTAATTATTTATTCTTATAACAAAAAAATTATAAAAGACAGAAGAGCAGTGGGAATTAAATGTAATTATAGTGGGATATTAAATATAATTATAGTGAGTATTAAATGTAATTACAGTGGGTATTAAATGTAATTATAATGGGGTATTAAATATAATTATTCATAATGAACCGAATATATCACTGTTTTGTCGAAACGGTTCGAAACAATGCCGTTTCGACCGAAACGGTCCGAAACAGTACCGTTTCGACCGAAACTGTCCGAAACAGTACCGTTTCGACCGAAACACTGGAATTTTGTGATTCAACTACTGTTTCGTTTCGGAGTGTTGAAATTCCGAAACGTTTCGGACGTTTCGGACGTGTCGACACGACATTTTGATCCTTGACTGTGAGACATATTGACATGATTAAGGTTATGTATGAAAATGTCATGACTTTAGCAGTATTGTGAAAAGTGAGCTTAAGCGAGAAGCGAAATGAGAAGGGAAGTGAAGCGAGCCTTGGTTGCCATGAACAGTTAAGGCGAAGCGAGAAAAAAACGAGCTTAGGCGACAAAGCGAAAAAGTGAGTCAGACGAGAAAAGCGATTGTCTGACTGATTTTTTTATTTTTATTTTCTCCTCCTCCTCTCCCCCACTTTTTTCCTTAACATCAACTAAACTATAGTAGAAATGATGTTATATATATATGTATGTATAAAATAAATTGATTGATTTATCAGTATTGTATGATAATCTGTCTAGTTATGATTAGATGATGTTGAAGGCTCTGTTTTGTGGTGAAAGCTCTTGTTAATCAATTTTCTTGATTAATCAATTTGCTTGATTAATCAATTTACTATATGCTCTATTTGATTAATTAATTTGTGAGTATTCTGTTTAGTAGTGATATTAATCAATAATGGTAGAAGTCGAACTCATATTTGCTAGCTTTTCATTTAGATGACATAATTATATCAATTGATTATTTTTAGTGTTAAGTGTAGAGGACCAACACAATATTAGAGAGAAACAGAGATAGGTAAAAACTTAACCTAGCTCTCATACATCGCTTGTATTTATAGTTAACTCACAATAATAAGAATTACACATACACCCTCTTGTATTTACACATAATACCCTAACACTATTAACAAACTGTAGATATTACCCTAATACTCTTAACATTTCCCCCTTCAGCTGGACTATATATATCATATAATTCAAGTTTAGAACAAATCGCTGTAAGACGTGTACGACTCAATGCTTTGATAAACATATTTATAGTTAACTCACAATAATAAGAATTACACATACACCCTCTTGTATTTACACATAATACCCTAACACTATTAACAAACTGTAGATATTACCCTAATACTCTTAACATTTCCCCCTTCAGCTGGACTATATATATCATATAATTCAAGTTTAGAACAAATCGCTGTAAGACGTGTACGACTCAATGCTTTGATAAACATATCTGCAAGTTAATTTTCAGATTTCACAAATAGAGTCGTAATCTCTTCGGTTACTATCTTGTCCCGAATAAAGTGACAATCAACCTCAATATGTTTGGTTCTCTCGTGAAACACTGAATTGATAGCGATATGGATAGCTGTCTGATTGTCACAGAACAATTATAAAGGAGGTTGAACTAGAAATCTAATTTTCTGGAGGAAGTATAATAGTCAAGTCAACTCACTTGTCGTATGCGTCATTGCCCTATACTCAGCCTTCGCACTGGATCTTGCTACCACGTTTTGTTTTTTATTTTTTCAAGAGACAACATTACCTACTAAGAAAGTACAATAACCAGTGGTTGATCTCCGATCAGAAGAAGAGCCAGCCCAATCAGCATCTGATAAACCTTCCACTCTAAAATGTTCATTAGCTTGATATAACAGTCTAAGTCCCATAGCACGTTTGAAATATCATAGAATACGAGTAACTGCCTTCCAATGTGGTACTTTAGGGCACCATATGAAGTGACTTACTATACTGACTGCATAGGAAATTTCTGGTCGAGTAATAGTGAGATAATTGAGCTTCCCAACCAATCTGCGATACTAACTCGGATTCTCAAACAATTCACCATCATCCATCAATAATTTCTGATTCGGATCCATAGAAACATCAATCGGTCTGCCATCCAACAAATATGCTCCTCTAGCATGTCAAGTACATATTTTCTCTAGAATAAACAAATACCCTGTTTAGATCGAGCCACCTCAATACCCAAGAAATACCTGAGTTTTTCCAAATCCTTAGGATGAAATTGATCTTGCAAGAATATTTTTAACTTGACAATCCCCTCAGAATCATTCTCAGTAATCACAATATCATCTACATAAACCACCAATAGACCATATCCAGCATCCGTCTGTCTATGAAACACAGAATGGTTTGTCTGACATCGAAGAAAATCAAACTCTAAATCTGCATCTGAAAACTTATCAAACTATGCCATCGGTGACTGCTTCAAACCATACAAATATTTCCTTAACCGACATACACTCTTATCATACTCCCCCTGAGCAGTAAATCTAGGTGGCTACTCCATGTATACCTCTAAAACCAAGTCACCATGTAAGAAGGCATTCTTGACATCTAATTAAATCAAGGGCCAATCAAGATTAACAGCCAAAGAAATCAAGATATGAACAAAGAAAATTTTGGCAACAGGAGAGAAAGTTTTCTCATAATCCACACCATAGGTCTGAGTAAAGCCCTTTGCAACAAGCCGGGCTTTGAGACGTTCCACAAAACTATCTGGATGAAATTTAACAGTATACACCTAACGACAACTAACAATTAGTTTACCAGGAGGTAAAGGAATGAGATCTCAAATCCCATTATGATGTAAGGCATCCATCTCCTCTTCCATAACTTTTCTACAATCCGAATCAGATAATGCATCCTGTAAGTGCTTAGGAATAGATAATTGTGAAGTAAAACAAGAGAAGACTGGAGACAATGCATCAAATGAAACAAAATGAGCAATGAGATAATTAGTAACATGAACGAGTACCTTTTCGAAGAGTAATAGGTAAAAAGTCTAAATTATCTGATGTACTAGGATCAGAAGACGTCAAGGAAGCGGTACAAGCACCTCAGTCGATGGGCGAGGGCGACAAAAGTATACATCAAGAGGTAAAATAGATGGTAACACAGTAGGCAGCGGAATATCTGAAGAGGAGGGAAGAGATGGTGGTACAAAAAATGACTCAGTCTAGATCCAAAGGTTGAGCAAGTGTTGAAAAATATGGAACAAATTCCTCAAACATGATATCAGCACTAGTAAAATATCGTCGCAGATAAGGACTATAGCAACGATATCCCATCTGTGTGCGGGAGTATCCAAGATATACACATTTGGTAACTCAAGGGTCAAATTTATCAAATCTATGACTCAAATTGTGAACATAACAGACACATCTAAAAACCTTAGGACTTAGAAAAAATAAGGGCTTACTAGGAAAAATGATAAAATATGAATTTTGCCCATTTAACACAGAGGATGATACGATTAATAAGATGACAAGCAGTAAGAATAGCATCACTCCAAAATATCTGAGAATATTCATTTGGAATAACAGAGCACGGGTGACTTCCAACAAATGATGGTTCTTGCGCTCAGCAACACTATTATGTGGAGAGGTGTAAGTACAAGAAATCTAATGAATAATATCAGTTTTACTAAGATAAGCTGAAAAATGATCAGATTCATATTCTCGAATATTATCAGAACGTAAAATACGTATACGACAACCATACTGAGTTTTTATTTTCTTGCGAAAGGTCTCAAATATAAAGAATAATTCAGACCGAGTTTTCATCAAAAACAATCAAATCATACGAGAATAGTCATCCACAAATGACACAAAATAAGGATATTTATTAGATAAAATATTCTTTATTGGACCCTATACATCAAAATGTACCAACTCAAATGAACTAAACACACGATTATTAACTCTAGACTGAAATGACACACGGTGATGCTTACTAAGTTGACAAGCTTCACAAGACAACGATGACACATAACTAAGACTGGAAATTTGGTGCTTCAGATTCTAGAGAGAGGGATGTCCAAGATAACAATGCCATTGAAAAGGAGATAACGAGGTCTGTAGAGCTCGAGTAGGTGAATCAAAATCAAAGTAATATAGACCACCAGCTTCATGCCTCGTACCAATCTTTCTCTTCGTCTTGAGATCCTGAAAGACATAATAAGAGGGATAAAATGTTACAAAACAATTGAGAGAACGAGTAATTTTGCTAATGGAAAGTAAATTAAAAGGAAACTGAAGAACAAATAACACGGAAGATAAAAACATATTAGGACTCAAGTGAGTAGTCCAAAAATCTGAAACTTTAGAATAAGTACCATTAGCAAGGGTAACACTACGTGTGGAAGTGGCAGACTGATAAGTAGAAAAGACATCAGACGCACCAGTCATGTGGTTAGAAGCGCCAGAGTCTATGATCCAGGGACTGCGAGTGGAAGACAATAAACAAGTGAAAGCAGTACTTGACTGGACAAAAATAGCAGTGGAGGGTGATGGAACAGCTTGTTGCTGGGACACGAATTAAGCATACTCCTCTAGAGTAATAGTAATCGACCTAGTGTCTGATGGAGCTGACCGAGGTATGGAAGTAACAACATAGGTGTCATCCTGATAAGAAGCCTGATTCATAACACCAGAAGGTTTTTCATGTAAATCCCAACATAAATCAATAGTATGTCCTACACAGCCCCAATGAGTACAGGAACAAGGTCCACTACAGCCTCCACGACTACCCGTACGACCTCCTGTGCGACCACCTCGATGACCATCACTATGGCTATTAGGAACCACAAGAGCTGAGCGATCAGTGGAGACACCATGATCTATGCCTGCGGTAGACAAAGTAGCATGTTGTATACGAGAGAAAATCTCAAGCAGTGAAGGAAGACTGGAACTATCCAAAATCTGAGAACGAATAGCCTCATATTCAGTTTTCAATCATACCAAAAACCTAACAACATTCATGTCCTCATGTTGCTTCTGTCAAACTGCTGCATCAGTAATAAACGGATGGTACACATAATACCCTAATTCTTTTAACAAATTAAACATACTACCTTAATACTCTTAACATTTAGAATGTAATAATGTTCAATATTTAATATCTTGTCTATTTAAAATATGTAGATGTTTATTATTTTGGTTGTATTTAAATATTTTGTATTTGTAAAGTTAAAACTTGAATATTTAGGAGTAATCAAAGTATTAAACTAAAATATTTGTTTATTTTTTTTATTGTTCTTCTCACTTTGTTTCTCGCTTAGGCCCTCAAGAGACCTGTTCGCTTCGATTTGTTTTATGCCTTAAATAACACTAGTGGACTTTAGTGAGAACAACATGAGACTTATGAATTCCCTGTTATTGTAGACTTACATCAAGGTTTTGTGTTAAGTCCATAAAGAAAGAATTAATAATAAAGTAGAAATATGTTGAGAAGCTCCAGAGTCAAAATGATTTTAGGATAAGTAGGAATAAACATTTTAAAAATTAATGTAGGATGGACTAAATGGAGGAATGCATTCGGTATATTATGTGATAGACACATACCCCTTTAAGTTAAAAGGAAAATTTTATAGAACGACTATAAGACTCGTTATGCTTTATGGTATTGAGTGTTAGACAACTAAGAAATAACACGTTGAAAAACTAAAAGTGTGCCGAAAACAAAAATTTTAAGATAGATGTGTGGTATAACTAGGGAGGATAAAATCAGGAACGAATATGTTCGTGAAAAAATAGAGGTAACAACTATTGGAGATATATTAAGGGAGAATCGACATAGCTGGTTTGGATATATCTATAGACGATCTATTATGACATGGATGAAAAATACTGATATGATGGCTTAGGATTTAACATAAAACCTGTCCCTTAATAAAGCACACTCGCAAAATAGGATTCATGTAACTAACCCAAAAATGTTGAGGCAAAACTTAGTTGAGTTAAGTATAAGAACCACTTGCCTTCAGTCAAGATGATTTGCATGAGCAGTTAGTTCTATGTATATTACTTGTGCAAGTAAACTAATTTAGACTGGCAAATTAATAATTGACATGCTAGAATTAGTTAAAATTAGTCTTTTTTGGCCATTTGTTATAATGCTCCTTACCTCTAAATGTGATATTGATATGGTACCGTGATGTGATATTATTGGATGTGGACAAGGATCAAAATGTCGTGTCGACACGTCCGAAACGTCCGAAACGTTTCGGAATTTCAACACTCCGAAACGAAACAGTAGTTGAATCACAAAATTCCAGTGTTTCGGTCGAAACGGTATTGTTTCGGACCGTTTCGGTCCGTTTCGGTCGAAACGGCATTGTTTCGAACCGTTTCGACAAAACAGTGATATATTCGGTTCATTATGAATAATTACATTTAATACCCCATTATAATTACATTTAATACACACTGTAATTACATTTAATACTCATTATATTTATATTTAATATCCCACTATAATTACATTTAATTTCCACTGCTCTTCTGTCTTTTATAATTTTTTTGTTATAAGAATAAATAATTACACTTAATACCCTACTATAATTATATTTAATACCCATTATAATTATATTTAATACATACTGTAATTATATTTAATACCTCACTGCTGTGCAAGTTTTTTGCTTTTTTTTTTTGTTATAAGTATTAACAATTACATTTAATACCCTAATGTAATTATATTTAATACCTTACTGTAATTACATTTAATACCCACTGCAATTACATTTAATTTTTAAGTATACATAAGTATCATTAATTTAATTTAATACCCTTCATTATTAGTATTATAATAAAATAATATTATTAATTGGATTATATTACCGTAATAATATGATTTGGAGTAACTATTGTCATCATATTTATGTCACATATGGAGTTTCTCTAAGTAGCTACCCAGAGCCTACATCGATGTATGAGTCTGCTCGACACTCCACAGGGGAATGGATGTAACCATGTAAGTATGTACTTATTAGCATTTCATGTGTATTATAAGACCTTAATATTATGTAAAAATGTGTTTATTTCATAAAAATTAAGTGTTTGAAACTAATTTAAGTGACTTTCGCCTCAAGTCAAGCCTTTTTTTCCCTCAAATTTAAATTTATTCTTGTATAAATTGATGTTAACCTAATAAATATGTTGAATTAATAAATTATTTAGCATATCTTTATAAATTAATGGATTGCATTTGGGTTTCTATGCGTTTTCATATTTTTTCTGCGTTTCCATTGCGTTTCCGAAACGTTTCTATTTTTGAGTTGACCGAAACGGTACTTCGAAACGAAATTTTGATCCTTGGATGTGGATGAAGAGTCTTTTTTTTTTTTGGTGGTTTCCATTGATACTTCCTTTACTTGCTGTTCTCTTCAGGCTAGAAAGTATCTGAACATCAGTTTGTTTAATAAAACAGTGAAGTAGTTCTCTCTCTCTCTCTCTCGGGCATAAAGTGGAACCCCCACTCAAAAGTCTAGCCATTGCACTTAATTCCTGAAGTGATGTCCTTTTAAGGTTCATTATTGTACATGGGTTGGTCATGTTGGATTTGGTTGAACTGAGAAATTGGAGAAAATCATCTAGGATATACATGAGCACTAATATTTACGTAGTTTGTGATTTGCAAGTGTGTGTAGTTCAATAAATTTTAACTTAGAGACTAGACCATACCTTCTTGTTTGTTTTAATGTCCTCACTTTCAAAACATGTCAACTTAACACAATTATAGGCCTTTGCTTTTGTTGTGTTCTCTCGGTGGATTTTTTATCCACCATTTTTGTATTTTTACTTCTTTTTATGAGATGAAAGTTGTTTCCTATCAAAAAAATAAAAAATAAAACATATTTCTTTGGTTTGGTTGGCTTGAGTCAGTTCTTTGTTTTAACCATTACATGCTGTTATCCTCTTTTCTATATTTTCCATTTCTCCAGAAATATTTTGGGATTTAAGTTTGTGTTGAGTCGACGTCAAACTTGATGCAAATAGTTTAGCATTATGCTTACTGTGCAGATAAGGAAGGAAGCACTTTGGGCTTGCTTTGCTATGGAACCTAATTTTGAAGCGATGATAACGGTCAGTTTATTTTGATGTATTGCTTTCATTTATATGATATTGCTTACTTCAATTTGCAATGACTTAGGAACTGAATACTCTAAATTTCAATAAGGAAGATGCATGGACATTAACAAAGCATTCTCCCAACCTGAGAGATTAGCTACTTGTTTTACCATTTCACCTTTCTTTTCTACATGGCTTTGTATTCATTCTATTGGTGTAGCGACGTGCCCTTTTCCACCATTATGTGCTATATATATGGGCATGCTTGTCCATAAACTCTAATTCCATTATCTCTTTCTCATTACCTAAACTTCTTCCTGTGTCCAACCTTGCAGCACTTTTAGCTTGGATTTGATATTCTTCTCAGTCATGTCACTATGTGTTCAATCCTTCTAATATCTATTCCAGGGTTGGTGCCCTCTTTTGTCTCTCATGGCTGTACGCAGATCTAATTTTGTCATTTTTTGCCTTGCTGGTCATCCATCCTTCCATCCATAGTGCAATCTCTATGCACAAGGAGGTGAGGCTGCATACTTCTAACACTGCAGTGGTGGAAGTCTCGTGCTCCGGCTGCCCTTTTTTATTTATTTTTTGTGATCTGCTCCTTTTCTTCTTTGATTCCATTCTCTTGTGCATAATCATCCTTGATACCAGAAATGGTCTCTCTTTTGCAAATCTTGGTTGAAATCGTTTTTTGTTTAGTATGAATAATAAAGTTGTTTTATCCCCAATCTTGTCCACAGAATTCCTGGGTTGTAACCTATCAGCTTCTAGCTTGTACCTGATCGTCTTTTCTTGTATGTTTTGGATAAAATTTTGTCCATAACTAAGAAGGTAAATAGGTTATATATAACTAGTACACTTCCAGCGCCAAGTCCTAATGCAGTCTGTTGTGTCAATATAGCTTTTCAATCCTGGTTATCCTAAACAATCATGCTGTATATCTTTGGTGGTGGTTAAATATTTTTCTAAGCTGATATAAGGCATATATGTTAAAGTACTGGTTATATGATATGGTTCTTGCCGCACCCTTTCAAAGAAGTTTTAGAATTACCTTTGTTTTGATTTTATAAATCAGTTGCCTGATTGCATTCGCCTCTTTTAATGAGTTGTTTTTAATCCCTTTTTTTTCTTTCAGACTTTTTCCAATATTATTTGTTTCATGCAGGATGTTTGTGTTCCTCTATCGCACTTAGGAGATTTGATATCGAGGTCCAAAAAAGAGTTGGACGCTTCACCGTTGGTGTGGTATGTTACTTCTGAATGGCTTTGTACTTTAGCAGATAAAGTATTTTCCCTATTATACTACTCTACAGCTTGATATGCATGTGATTTGTCTGTCTCTTATTAACAGCACAGTTGTTGCCCATGCTGGTGATGGGAACTTCCACACGGTGATTCTGTTTGATCCCAAAAGTGACAAGCAACAGAAGGAAGCTGAGAGATTAAACCAGTTTATGGTCCATACTGCTTTATCCATGGAAGGTATTGCTTTTCTATATGATTTAAGGAAATTTTGTTCTCATTCAGTGCTGATTAATTTAGGACATGATTAGTACAATTTCTATCACGTTGATGTTCTTATGTGGTGATGATTCAGTAATCATTACTTAAACCCGAAAACAGTGAATTGGGCAGTGCTTTAAATTTTGGTGTCACATGACATCTGAAGTGAATTGAAAGTCTTGTAGCTTGACCAAGCTGCTACAACAATAGCATTTTTTTTTTATTTGTGAACAATAGACAAATATAGGAAATTTGGAATTGCAACTTGATGTAAGGAGAATATTGTAGTATTCAATTAATGTTATAGCTTAACAATAACACAAAAATATAAGCCATGGTTGCGACTTTGAACATGATTGGATACAAAATATATGGCCTCATGTTTAGTTTGTGGGTGTTTATTTTCAATCGTGGACCTTAATCTGGTTTTATCCTGCTTAACATTGGTCAACCTGAAGGATGACTTGTTGTGCCACTATTCCCCACAAATCTTCATTGGTGTGAGGGCGAGAAGATGATACCTCACTATTTTTTTAAGTAAATGAGTAGAGTTTGCATAGTTGCTTTAATCTATACATCTATGTAATGTGATCATCATCTGAACATCAAAGAAGAAACCATCTCACTTTTAATGAAGCAGTGGCCTGAGTTTTTTTTTTTAAATTTTTTACCCAGTTTCTTAGTTGTAGTATTTGGTAAGTGGATTTTTTCAGCAATGACGAGCAATGTACAAAATCTACGCTGGTGCAAGGTTGTATGCATCAGCACTAATGTTGCTTTTGTTTATTTGATTTTATGACGGAGCAGGAACATGTACTGGAGAACATGGTGTGGGTACCGGGAAAATGAAGGTACTATAATCTTATCCTGTCAAACGAGCAATCTACCGCATGTAGCACATTCAGATTCACCTTCTGTATTGCAAAGACAGAGTGAACTGACAACTTCACAACAAATATGATTGAAAAAATTGTAGCTCTCACACATAAATAAGGACCTATGTTACAAATCAGGAGTATTGTCAGGACTCTTACAATATCACTATGGTCATTTTAGATGGTGCGTATGAACAAAAGAGATGTTGTGATGTCGTGGGCTTTTGGCAATCAGTTGCAAGGAAACATTCAATGGCATCATTTGACCAAGTAATACCACTTCAGCAAGCATGCTTAGAATTCTCTGTTCAAGAAATACAAAACATACGAGAGTATGGATGCTACATGCATTGCTAAAATGACTTTAGTTTTGTGCCTTTGATGGGAAAATAACTTAACTCAAATCAACAAACTCTCCCCTGACTATTAGGGTTTGACTACATACAAAATAACATACTGGAAGGTGAAAAGTGAAAAGCAAAGGTGAAAAACCCAAAACAGAAAATGAATAAAGATGACAAAACTAAGGCTGGAGTTTCTAATTGCAAGAATCCATGTTGTGGTGTTAAAACGAGCCCAGTTTGTTTAATACACTGAATTTCGATGTTTTTTTTGTTTCTGTGGCATTTCTAAAAATATTTCGATTGTATCCTTTGCATTTCAGTACCTTGAACAAGAACTTGGAATAGAGGCTTTGCAAACGATGAAAAGGATAAAAGCTGCTTTGGATCCCAACAACATCATGAATCCAGGAAAGCTCATCCCCCCCCATGTTTGTTTGTAAGAAAGCTCTCTGTATTTGTTTATATTGTTGTAACTGTTAGAGTATTTATATTATGGGTAGTTTAGTCATTTTATATTATTTTGTTGCCCTATTATATAAGGGGCTACATTGTGTACCTTTGGTTAAGGATGTATGACAGATTGGATTAGTCTTAATAATATTCTTCACTTCTCTCTCCTTTATTCCTTTAGATCAATGATCAATGCTAACATGGTATCAGAGCTTGTTTGATCCTAGCATACTTAAAAATAAAAAAATAAAAATTTGAAGAACACATCAGGTTCTTCAACTTCTTCTGAACAAGGGCTGACGTCATCAATCTGGAGTCGGGAAGAGCACTATCATACTCGATTCTTCATGGGCTCTTCAATGGTATATTTCGTTTTTGATTTTGAGGCCGTCGGATAGGGTTTTTCAATTTTTGAATGTTTTTCAAAAATTTTGGCTTTATTTTTTGATTTGTAATTTGGGACTATTTTTCTTGAATTTTTCTGCTTCCAATCGGGTCTAAAATGTGCGATTAAGAGTGTAACCTAGTTGGTTGTGTGATTGGAAGGTTTTTGGTTGAGTTTTGGTTGGATTTTGGCTGTTTTGGACTGTCGAATTACTGTTCACAGTAAGAACAATCACTGCTTTGGACTAGTTTCTGTTCTTGGTTTCTGCTGGTGCATTCTTCTTCTGTTTTGTGGCTTCTTCTGTTGGATTTGTGTGTCGGTTGGATTGTTTCTCCTTCACAGTGAACCAGCTGCTATTATATTGGGTTTGCAATTTTGGGTTGACATAGAATTTTGGGCTTGACTGCTATTATCTGGTTGTTTCTTGATTTGCTAGATTATTGTTGTTTTCAGCTTTATTTTGGGTATTATTCTGTTGTGAGCATCGATCATTTTTGTTACCATTATAGCAAGTGGACATTCTGCTATTAGTGTCAGATTAAATGGTGAAAATTATGTATATTGGTCATATATTATGAAGAATTTTTTGTTGGGGAGAAAGATGTGGAGTTATATCAGTGGTGCTTTGCATGCTCCAACAGATCCGAAGGCAATGAATTTTGCTGACTTAAAGAATAACTGAGAGATCAACAATGCTAAAATCATCACTTGGATTAACAACTCAATTGATCAGACCATTGGTGTGCATTTGGCTAAATTTAAAACAGTCAAGGAGATTTGGGACTATTTAGCTACGTTGTTTGTTCAATCCAATTTTGCAAAGAGATATCAGCTTGAGCATGAAATTTGAGCTGCACGCTAGGGTGATAAGACCATACAAGAGTTTTACTCGATTATGACTGGATTTTGGGATCAGTTAGCACTTGTTGGACTGAGTACTCATATGGTATATCGTACTTTCAGGGAGGAGCGTCAGTTGGTGCAGTTTTTGATAACCCTTAGAGATGACTTTGAGGGACTTCGTGGTTCTATTCTCCATCATCTCCCACTTCCCACAATTGATGCAGTAGTAAATGAGTTTTTGACTAAAGAAGTTCGTCTTAAGACTCTTTCTGGGAAGGGTCTTCTTTCATGGCCTAATCAGACTGTACTGGCTGTACCACCCCAGAGGGACTTCTTATTCACAGACTAAAAATCGGGGTCAAGTTGTTTCAGATGAGTGTAGTTTTTGTTGTGAGAAAGGTCACTAGAAGGCTCAATGTCCTAAATTGATGAACAAGAATGCCAAGGGGGGCCTTCCATCAGCCATTTAAGCCCAAAGATCGTCATATAGCAGCAACTGCTTCACCAATGGATGAGTAACTCCCATCAACTCCCAGTATGACTATGATAGCTAATCAGTTGCAAAAGCTTATGTCCCTTCATCAACCAGGTGCCTTATCAGTTTCTCCCTTCACAGGTTCATTCACTACAGGTCCATCAGGTATATCCTAAACTACCTGGGTCTTTGATTCAGAAGCCACCCATCATATGACTAGTAATTCTTCCTTATTTGTTTCTATTACTTCTCCTCTCTCTATATTTATTCTTGCAGTCAATGGCACCCAAATGTCTTTGGCTGGTGTTGAAACTATTGTGTTTTCTCAGCTTATACTTTTTGATGTCTACTATATTCCTCAACTTACTTTAAATTTAATCTTTGTTAGTCAGTTGTTTGATTCAAGATTTTTAGTTCACTTTTCTTATACTAGTTGTGTTGTGCAAGATTCATGGTCCAAAAAGCTGATTAGGACAGGCCACAGATGTGGAGGGTTATATGTGTTGGACGAACTTTATGTTCCTAAAATTGTTGCATCTACTGTTAATATATTTTTTTTTCAATTGAGTGCAAAATCGTCTAGTTTTATTTATGGCATTCTCGTTTAGGTCATGTTTCTCATTCTTGTTTAAAATTTTTAGTTTCTACTAGTAGTTTGGGTAGTTTAGAGTGTCATAATATTTCAGATTGTAGTGGCTGTAAGTTGGCTAAATTTACTGCATTACCTTTCAATAAAAGTAATTCTCGTTCTCTTGCATCTTTTGATCTTTGTACATTTTGATATTTGGGGACCAACTCCTATTGCTATTAAAGGGAGGTCTAGATATTGTATCTCTTTTATTGATGATCATACTAGATATTGTTGGGTGTATTTAATGACACGTATGTCTGAGTTATTTTTCATTTTCACTACTTTTCGTGCTATGATGCGTACTCAATATTTTTTTATTATCAAATGCTTCCAGTGTGATCAAGGTGAAGAATATTCTTTTAGTTTTTTTCGTGATTTGTTGAAATCTGATGATACTATTTATCAGTCTTCTTGTATCGACACATCTGCTCAGAATAGAGTGGCTGAACAGAAACATCGTCATATTATTGAGACAACTCATTCTCTGTTATTGTCATCTAGTGTCCCTAGCTCTTTTTGGGGAGAAACAGTCCTTACAGCAGTTCATCTGATTAATTGCATTCCTATAATCCTTAATTCTTGTGTCTCACCTTTTGAAAAATTATGTGGTAAGACACCTAACTATTTCTCCTTACGTGTGTTTGGATGTTCTTGTTTTGTTTTGCTACTTAGTGTTAATCGTACCAAACTTTCTGCTCGCTCAGCCGTATGTGTTTTTCTTGGATATGGTGAGGGACAAAAGGGATTTCGATATTATGATACTAGTACACAAAAATTTTATGTTTCTCACCATATTGTTTTTATGGAGCATATTCCCTTTTTCTCTCATCTCTACATAAATATGATCTTATCTATCTTGATTCCTTTCCCTCTAATGTTTCCCCTGACTCATATGTTGGTGATATGACTGTGGCTGATTTTCTCCCCTCCTCTTCTTCTTCTTCTTCTTCTTCCTCTTCCTCTTTGCCTGATGTGTCTATTACCCGCCCCCCGATTATGCATACTTATGTTCGCAGGACTCCCACTGTCTCCTCCACAGATGTTGTGCCTTCATCTAAACCTCTTGGCTCCTAATCAAATTCTGACATCGTGGATCACACTCCCCGCTACCCTCAGCGCACTCGGAAGTGTCATGACAGGTTTGGTTGGTCCAACTCTTGTTTCTCTTCTGATTATTGTTCTTTCCTGACTTCTATATATTCCCTGTCTGAACCAACCTCCTATAGGGAGGCTATACATGATCCTCTTTGGCAACAAGCTATAGATGAGGAGCTTTCTGCGTTATATAAGACTTGAGCTTGAGAGTTGGTGCCTTTACCTCCTGGTAAACGCCCCATTGATTATAAGTGGGTTTATAAAATCAAAACTCAATCTAATGGTTCTGTGGAAAGGTACAAGGCTAGAGTAGTGGTCAAGGAATTTGCCCAAGAGTATGAGCTTGACTACAATGAGACCTTTGCTCCAGTGGCTAAGATGACCATGATTTTTACAGTAATTGTTGTGGGAGCTATTCGTCAATGGAGTTTCTCTCAGATGGATGTGAAAAATATTTTTTTTCATGGCGATTTATCTGAAGAAGTCTATATGAATCCTCCTCCTGAGTTATCTTGTAGTCCTAGTTATGTGTGCAGACTTCACAAAGTTTTATATGGTCTTAAACAGGCCCCGAGGGCATGGTTTGTAAAATTTTCTTCAGTCATATGTGACTTAGGCTTTTGTGGTAGTAATCATGATTCTGCTCTCTTCCTTCGATCCACTTCTTCTGGTCTCATTATTTTATTACTTTATGTGGATGACATGATTATTACAGGTGATGACAAATGTTGGAATTCAGATGTTGAAAACTCAGTTACAAGATTATTTTGAGATGAAAGATTTGGGTCCACTTCGATATATCTTAGGGATTGAGGTTGCTTCTTCTCCCAATGGTTATCTTCTTTCTCAGTCAAAATATGCTTCAGATGTTATTCAGCGAGCTTGCTTAACGGATACTTAAACGGTTGACACACCCTTGGAGCTCAATGTTCGTTATATTTCCTCTGATGGTTCTCTTCTGTCTAATCCTACCTTATATCGTACTATTGTTTGGAGTTTGGTATATCTTACTATTACTCGTCCAAATATTGCTTATGCGGTGCATGTGGTTAGTCAGTTTGTTGCTACTCCTACTACACTTCACTGGTCTACCATTCTTCGGATTCTTCGATATCTGCGGGGTGCATTGTATCAAAGTTTATTATTTTCTTTCTCATTGTCTCTGGAGCTTCGTGCTTACTCTGATGCAGACTGGGCTGGTGACTATGAATTACAAGTCCACAACTGATTTCTGTCTCTTTCTTGGTGATTTTCTTATTTCATGGAAAAGTAAGAAACAAACTGTTGTGGCTCGATCCTCTTTTGAAGTTGAGTATCGTGCTATGGCCTCCACAACAGTAGAGATCGTTTGGTTGCGTTGGCTACTTGCTGATCTTGGCATTTCCTTCTCTGCGTCTACTCCCATGTATTGTGATAACACCAGTGCCATTCAGATTGCCCATAACTTGGTGTTTCATGAGCGCACAAAACATATTGAGGTTGATTGTCACTTTGTGCGTCACCATCTTCAGCTGGGCACGATATCTCTCCCTTTTCTTCCTTCTACTATGCAGTTGGCAGA